TAATTTTGGGTCTGCCTTCTGCTTACAATCTGCGAAACTACACGGATTTTTATTTACGGCCATTCTCTTTTTTTATTTTTCTTAATAACTCGGCTAATTCCTGGTCTTTTTTCTCATCTTTTTCTTTTTCCTGGGTGGCAAAATAAATAATTTGTCGTTCTTGACAGTAAGCAATCAGCAATTTTTCTCATTTTTGGGGGCAATTATTTAAGCATTTAGTTTTGGCATCAGTTAAATCATCCGTGCGGATTACTAGTAGTTGTCAGGTGGTCTGGCAAACGGAGCAATGGAATTTCAATTTCTTTTCGAGAGTGTTAAGGGGCTTTTTCATGAGCATTAATTTACTTTCCGCAGACTAGGCAACTCCTCCCACTTATGTAAAACTCATCTTTTAGGCTTTTTTTCACAGAAAAATAGATAGCGTTTATCTATGTAACGGCTTTTTTCAATGCTGCAAATGATTTCGGCTCGCACTAGGTTGGGATAAACAAAAACAAAATTTTCCTTTTTTTCATTATCCAATAAGACGGTTATTTTATAAGTAAGATTGCCGCAAAAAGGAGATTTTTTGTCATAGACTTTGCGAGGTTCTTTGCCTAATATTTGGCCGACTAATTCATAGATTTTGGTCATCTTTTACTGAGTAAGGATTCCCTTTTTGGCTAGAGAGCAAAGTTTACAGCGGCGGGGTGGTTGACCGGGAAATTTAATTCAGCCTGAACCATCACACTCACTACAAGGGCTATTACGCACAACATAACGATTTCCATTAACCGCACAATCACGGCAGTAATCATAATTATGGTGAGCATAGCAAGTAAAAGGGTCGCAGCAACCGAGGCAAGTTTTTTTTATTCTTTTGAAGGAAGTTTTAACTCCGCCCAGACGGGCGGAAGTTGGATGAATAACTTTATTAATCATCATTAGGAGATATCAAGTTCTTCTTTTTTTGCTCCCTCATGAATATTGACCTCAGTTTTTTTGAAAAAAGCCGCATATATTCCGCAAATAGCCGCTAATCCTGCTCCAATACAGGCTCCTATGCTTCAATAATTATTTTCTGAACCTCCTGGTTTTATGCCTTCTACTTTGGTTTTTACTTCGTCAATTTTGCTGTTGGTGGATGATAAATCCGCACTTACTCCTTTGGTTTTTAATTCTTCCAACAAAGTTTTTAAAGGGGATAAATCGACAATTTCTTCATAAATAATATTGCCCTGACTATCTTTTAAATCATTGCCGTCTTTATCTTTTTTAGGCTGTTTTTTTAAGTCTAATTTACTTACTGCTTCCAGTTTGTCAATTAAATCTTTGGTTATTTTAGAGCCAATTTGTTCGTCTTTTTGTTTGAGGAGAGCATCTTTGGCCGTGATATCGGTTTGGAGTTGAGATTTTTCATCTGTGAGTTTTTTGATTTCAGCATCGGTTCTTAATTTTTCCGCTCCGATGGAAGTTTCAATATTTTGTAAATCTTTGAAATCGGTATCCAGATCAGATGATAAGTTGGTGTGTCTGGGATTAGATTTGTTTAATAAGTGATTAATCCTTTTCTCTAAATCAGTTTTGTCTTGTGCGCTTCAGACTGAGGCATTGTTCGCATGCGTTTTTAAATCGTTAATTATGCTTTTTACTTCTTGTAATGTATTGTTAATATTTACCATTTTGCTACATATTTATTGTGATTTGTGTGTAAAAAAAATATATAGACAAAAAGAGGGTTAAAAAAAGTTCTGATTATGAATATAAACACTAAGTATACTATCAATTATGTTCGCCAAAGTTGGTTAGATATCTTTCAACAAAAAGGTTATCGCTTATTAGAACCTGCCTCGCTTATTCCCCAAAATGACCCATCTTTGTTATGAATTAATTCCGGAGTAGCCACTCTAAAAAAATATTTCAATAATCCTAATTTGTTAGGAGCCAATTCGGCTCGTAATTTAGTAAATTGCCAACGAGTAATCCGCACCGACGACATAGCAAATATTAATGCTCAATCCTATCACCAGACTTTATTTGAAATGCTGGGGGATTTTTCTATCGGTAGTAATTTCAAAGCAGAAGTTATTCCCATCATTTGAGAGTGATTTACCGCCCCACAATGATTAAATATGAATCCAAAAAATCTTTTTATCACTGTTTGAGAAAACGACAAGTTAAGTTATGAAGTTTGAAAAAAACAAGGTGTAAAAGAAGACCATATTCTTTTTGGCAACAAAAAAA